GCGCGCGAGAGAGAGGGGTGCGCGCGCAGCTGCAGCGAGCGAGGAGAGCGGAGGAGCGAGCGAAGGGGGAGGGGGACTATCAGCGTTCGCGTCCGTGGCTTATTCGGTAGAGCGTCGCGCTGCGGCCCGCCAAGTCCTCTTTCTTTTAAAGATAGAGAGAAGACTGCGGACGCCGCCGACGGCGGTGGATGGTTTGGGGTCGCTTATAAAGTGTATTCACACTTAATATGTGTCACAGATAAATCAAGTTTTCCACCCTCAGTGTTCTTCTCATTGCGTTTAAGAAGATTGGTCTACCAACTTTAGTTTACGCGTCAATAATATTGAACAAATGTTAATTAAATAACAAAGGAAAAAATAACGAGGGGAGAGCAGTTTGATTTATCTTTAGAACAGCTTTTGCCGCACTACCATTGCTTCTTCGTTATTTTAAATGAATAGCATAGCCCTGACGCATAAAGAATGAAGCGTTTAAAATGATTTTAGTAAACACTAGGTAATTATATATAAACAACACATTCAACTTATTTATCAGGCTTCCTTCTCCAACGACAGGATATGCCAGAAGGCTCAAGCAGGACTTCTTATTGACCCCTTTCTCTACCCGTAAAATGAAAGTTACAATTATTTTTACATGCGAATCATCTCATGCTCGGGCCTGTGTCCCACCGCGTCGGCGGCGTCCGTGCTCACACTACGCATGCGCAACTCTCTTCTTCCCTCTCTCTCCTCTTGGCATCCCTCCCAGCCGCATTAAGATCTCCATTGCACATGCGCGTCATCTCTCACTTGTCTAACGCTTCCCTCTCTCGCCTCGCAAAGCTCACGCAGGGAGCGTCTGCTAACCTACGCTCACTTCCCCGTCTCTTCTGGCATTCCTCCCCGCGGTGTTCACGCCGCCACTGCGCATGCGCGTCCCCTCCCCCTCCCTTGACTCGCAACGCCGAAGCAGACAGCATCTGCTATATTTATTTATTTATTTATTAGTATACCCTCAAGACCCAGAGGGTGTTACAGAGGGGGTGGGTACAATATGAATGTGGCAAAAAAATAATAACAACAGTGAAGGAAATACAACAAATAATAGTTAAAACAGAAAAAAAAACAAGAAAAACGAAAAACGAAAAACAGTGTGCAGTTACGCCATAATGTGTTTCGACACTGCGGATTTGAACAGCCCTTGATCCTTAGTGGCAGCAATGGAGGGGGGAAGGCGGTTCCAGTCCCTGCTTGTCTTCGGAAGAAAAGACTGCAAAAAGTGGTTGGTGTGGCAGAAAGGAATGGCTACTTTATACTGATGGTCAACACGGGATGAGATGTATGCAGGTCCTGAGATTAAATCCTCTCTAAGTACTTGATTATGGAAGAAAATTTTATGAAAGAGCGACAGACGGAAAATTGTTCTTCTCGTGACCAGATCTGGGAGTTCAAGAGTAGATTTCATTAAGGTCACACTGGCAGTACGAGCATAGTTGTTATGAATGAAGCGGGCTGATCGGTTTTGGACAGCTTCTAAGGCTTCAATTAATGTTGATTGAGCTGGGTCCCATATGGCAGACGCATACTCGAGTTTTGGTGGGATTATTGTTTGGTAAAGCTGCAATTTAAGGTGTGTTGGTGCTTGGCGAAAGTTTCTGCGGAGGTAACCAAGAGACCGGTTAGCGTTGTTGATAATGTAGGTAATGTGAGAATGCCACGATAGATCATTTGTTATGTGAACTCCAAGGTATTTGTAGCTACTAACCTGCTCTAATCTAGTTCCATTTAATGTGTAGTTGAAAAGCTTCGGAGTGATAGAAGAACGTGTGATTGTCATGCTTTTACACTTAGTAACGTTAAGGTTCATTAGCCACGTATTGCACCAGTCAGAGACGCAATTAAGATCACCTTGAAGAAGAACGTTGTCGTCTTCGTTAGTTATTCTGCGGTACAAAACGCAGTCGTCAGCAAACAGTTTTATGGATGACTTAATGTTACTTGCTAGATCATTGATGTAGACTAAAAAGAGTAAAGGACCTAAAACGGAACCTTGCGGTACGCCAGATCTAACTGCACAGGGATTTGAGGAACAATTATTAGCGGTAACATACTGAGTGCGGTTAGTAAGAAAGCATTCAATCCATGTCAGAGTGTTAGGGTCGATATTCAGTATGCTAAGCTTCAGTAGTAGTAATTGGTGTGACACTTTATCAAAGGCTTTCGCGAAATCTAAAAAAAATGCAATCTACTAGTATTTTGTTATCTAGTGCTGAGATGACGTCATGTGTAAAACATAGAAGCTGAGTTTCGCACGAATGATGCTTACGAAATCCGTGTTGGAACTTGCTGAAGAATACGTTAGTTTCAAGAAATGCCATGAGATTAGAGTAGATTATGTGCTCAAGCATTTTACACGGAATACTTGTTAAAGAAATTGGTCGGTAGTTCAGGGGAGAGTGTTGGTTTCCGGATTTAAAGACGGGAATAACCTTCCCCACCTTCCAGTCAGTTGGCAAAGTGGCACACTGGAGAGACTGCTTAAAAATGTACGACAATACAATGGAACAGTATACTTCAGTGTTCTTCAGAAATTTCGCGTTTATCTAATCAGTGCCACAGGCAGAAGACAGCTTAAGTCGCCGGATTAAGTTAATAATTCCTTCAAATTCAATAGTTATATAGTCCATTGGAAAAAACCCGCTGTGATATACCTGCGGCACTGAAACTGCACATGAATCTGAAAAACATTGCGAAAAGACGTTGTTAAGAACAGAACAGCATTCTTCGTTGCGCATCGCGCGGCCATTGGAATCAATAAGTGATACGACGGTTCGTTTTATTGGGTTGACAGTTTTCCAAAATTTCGACGGGTTAGTAGACAACAACGAGGGAAGTGTAGTGTTGAAATAGTCACGCCTGGAATTCTTCATGGAAAAGCGATACGCGGAAAGAGCTTCGCGATAAGCCTTCCAACGAAAAACACTGCTGTCGAGCTTAGCAGAGTGGAAGAGGCGTTTTTTTCTATTAAGAAGCCTTTTCAGGTTTACTGTGAACCATGGCGATCGCTGCTTTTTTGATATAACTTGAAGCGGCACATGCCTGTCGATCAATAAAGAAATTTTGTCCCTAAAACGACACCAATTCTGCTCGACTGATCGGTCAAAAAAACCAGGCATATAGCTATCAATAAACTGTTCAAGTTCCGTATTTATTGCGGCATAGTCCACTTTTTTGTAGTTTCTTATGGTCTTCGTAACCTTAGTTCGGGGTGAAATGCCAATATTTAAAGTGAATTGCAGGCAGCAGTGGTCACTAACACCAGGAAAACAAGTCAGTGAGTTCAGTAAGTTTGGTGTCGTAGTCAGGATTAAATCCAGTACATTAGCAGACGTAACGGCTGTTCTTGTTGGTTCGGTGACCATTTGAGTCAGATTGAAATCTAAACAAATTAACAAATGATTTATTCTCCGCTGTCACCTCTGTGATACTAGGACTCGTACTTGACCAATCAATTTTAGGAAAGTTAAAGTCTCCCAAAAGGAACAGATGAGAATGCGGAAATTGTACAACTAGTGAATTCAACACGTCATGCAATTCGCTACAAAAGTCAGGCGCCGCATTGGGCGGCCTATAGCACACACAAAATAGAGCACTCTGATGGCGTAAAGGGATATTTGCACAAACAATTTCTAAAGAAGAATTCACCGTTATCATGTGTGACTCTAGCTTATCGGCTACCGCTATAAGCACACCTCCCCCTTTTCCGCTACTATGATCACAGCGATAGATGGTGTACTTTTTGTCGCAGTCAAATAGTTCACTACTGGCTACATCGGGGGACAGCCATGTTTCGGTGAGCGCCACGACATCAGCGCAGCACGAGTCAATGACAGCCGATAATGTGTCTCGCTTATTGATTGTGCTTCTGACATTTGATAGTAGAAAGGATGTGCCAGCCAAAACAGGGGTCACAACATTTGATGTTCGGGCTAGGACAAGCAAGGGCCTCTACCTGCAGACGTAGAAGCAGACGAAGAATCGTTCGCACTTTCATCTCTGTCGGATTCCAGTTCACAGATGCTATCGGTTGTTCGTGAGTACACGAAGCACTTTTTGTTTATATATAGTCTGTTATAACGTACTGAAAACTGCTGTTTGCTAGCTTTTCCATATTCAAAAAGCTTTTTACGCACACTTCTCGTAGTCGCACAGAAGTCTTCATTAACCGATAAGCCAGAAGCCTTGAGTTTGGCTCTAGCGACCAAGATGCTCTCGCGCAGCTTGGAAGATGCGAATTTAATTATGACGGGTCGGCATTTTCCTGGCGCATACTTTCCCAACCTGTGCGCGCGAGATATGCGTTCGTCATCGTCACCAAGATTTAGCTTTAATTCTGTATTAAGGACATTGCATACTTGCTATAGAGCATACTTGCTATAGAGTTTCTTGATAGAAAAAATTCGCCCCGTATCTGCATGTTTCACTGCAAACGTCGTCGAAAGGTATTAGTCTGGCGGGCGGAGACAGTGAACAAAAAATTCATTAGATGTTCAACACGAAAAAAAAATGGTGAATTGTGTGCTGGAAGCGCTGCGTTAGAGAGTCTCAATCCGTGCAGCGAAGGCTAACGAACGCATCGAGGCATGTTAAAGTCACTCTATCTACAAAAAGTAGCGAAAGGTCTTGATCCAGCCGCCTCGCCGCGCGATTGCCCGGTTGGCGACACGTGACCTTTTCTCCTTCGCGCCCCGCCCTAAGGGTCCAGCAGTCGTTCGCTGTGCATGCGGATCGCGTGGTTGTTTGCGTTTCCGAGCGTGGAATTGGACGTTTCGATAAGTAAAAAACATTTCTTGCGCCTCTGATGCATTGTTTTTGCAACGTAGAAGTGCTTATTTACCTTTCTCTTGAGTGGACGCGGGAATTACGTGTTTTTATTCAACGTTTGCAGCATGACACGCTAGCATGCCGGGCTGCTGTGCCTACGGTTGCCGAAACCGTACGACGGATGGAAAGAAGTTCTTTTCTATTCCTCGCGGTGATGATAACAACCGCAGACGGAAGATATGGCTCCACAGAATCGGGCGCAAGGATTTCGTGCCCACTGAAAATACCCGGCTATGCGAGGTAAGTGACTTCATGGTTTTTATAAAATGTAAACACTGTCGTAGATTTCAGCCAGCCATGTGCTTCACTGGCGTGTCTTTGTTCGTGTATATACTGTTTCATGGGCATTATCTCAACAACGCTGTTATTGTTTTGGCGTTCTTGATGCGGCTGATTTGTGCATTATAGCTATTTACGTTTCACATCCCGTATTTCTCACAGTGATTAGCTCGAGACCCCAATACAATTGCGTTTGTTTATGTCATCATAATGCGAGCTTTGTCAAGGGTAAACGACTAATGTGCTGGCCGAGCACTGAATAGGAAAGCCTCGAGCAATGCAGAGTGCCCCTTGCCATTTAGTTGCTTTGACCCGTCTGCTTGAAACAGCCTTTTGTTTGTGCATTACGCGTCAGGGCGTGTCACATAAAGTTATTTTTCAGGTGTGGGCATCCTTTTGTAATGTTTAGATGCGACAGCATGTATTAGTGAACTTATTGCAGTTTTCCTGTTCATGCAAGGTTTCCCAGATCACGTGAGCATAGATGTAAATGTGTCAATGTGCCAGAGGCTGCTTTTATTCTGTCAATTCAAAGTATTCATGGTGCTATTACTATGTGCCCGAACCACACAGAGGCGGCTGTTATTCTCAGATCTTTTTGGGGTGGCTTTAAAACTTGAAACTTACAATAAAAGGTCCGTTCTTGGTATTTCTTATTTATTTTGTTTTGCCACGCCTTGCTGTGTTTTGCTGCGGGGCTCTGCGCGAGGTCGATTCAGGCTTGTTTGTCTAAGCACTTTGCATATTTTTTTTACAGGACCACTTTGATGTTGAAGCATTTGAGCAATTAATCCTACAAAGCTCTGGCCAGAAGAAACTGAAGCCGTATGCCATGCCGAGCATCTTTACTCATCTGAACTATAAAACAAGCACTTTCAGTTGACCCACATATCGTCTCTACTTCAATGTAAGCTGAATTTCACATTTTGCAAACGACCGTAAAAAAGCGCCGTATGACTACCGCTGTGAAACACCGTTCAATAGAATGAGATGCTTCGAAAGTACGAACGTTTTATTGCAAAGCTTCACGCGCCCCGGGATCGTTAGTCGTTGTCCCTACTGCTTGAAGTTTCCTGGGCAGCTTACGCCACAAAGGGCAATAATTAACCGGTTCAAACGCGCACTGAGAGCGGTTTCAGCCGTCCGCAAAATGCACGCGAGCGAGTGGAGAGTCGTCTGCTAGCGCTGCTCCTTGGACCCCTCCAGAGGGCGTGCGTGTAGTTGTCGCTACCTTTATATATATAGGGACCTTAAGGCATGTTAGACACGAGCGCTATCTGGCAGTTATCTTCGAAAACGAAAGAACGTGTGCGCGCCCATGGAGGAAAATGCGCGCCTGTTTCGGGGGCGATAAGGTGTAGAACGCAAAGCGACGGCCAGGTGCCACCACCGAGTCGTCTTAGCAAAGCGTTGGAAGATCTTGCCTTTTTGAGCACAGCGTTGCACTGTAAGCGCAGCGTGATAAACGCTACGGTTCTTAGAATTACGTTTGCCTTCTCTAGTATAAGTACACACATACAAAATACTGACGTGCTGTTATGGTGCCTCAGATATGCGCAATAATTGCTTTATATTTGACAATCACATAAGTGTGAACGCTTATACTTGAGCAATATTGGTGGGTGCTACGGATGGGGTTCGCCGTTTGAGTAATCGCTCGGTGCTGTTTGGGGTATCGTAATGGCGGACAAACAGACAAATGTACAAAGAAGAACTATCGTTTTTAGAAATCGACTGCTTGTGCTGCACAACCGTTCGCTGCCCCCCCCCCCTTCCGTATATTTACACGCACTGGATCTTGACCCCCAAGTAAGTGCTGGTGGGAGATTTTCCCTGTGCGTTATTGAACAATAAAACTTCGCAGCGTGCGCGTTAACAAAAAGCGGACTGTGGGTCTCTGTGCTGAATCGAAGTAGTCTGTCTCTTACTGGCCATAAGCAGCGACTGGCATATTCCAGTAGAATGCACCTGTCCTCACTGCATGCTTAGCGCCTCCTCAGGTTTCTATCCTGCGCAACGCAACGCCGCGATGAGCGCCAGCGTAAACGTCGCCGCTAGTGTAAGCGTTAGCTCCCGCTGCTTGGAATCCACACATGGTTCCCTTTAGCGGGAGATGGCGTAGTTAGTTTTAAAGCAGTAGCGTTAAAGAGCTCGTGTCGCAGAGAACCCGACGCCGGCGTCAGCCACGTTGGTTGTGAGTGAAAAATCATCTGTGCATCTGTGACCGAAAAATCAAGTTACCGAGATAGCCGCGGGAGGCCGCTACTTATCCACGGGTGCGCGCGTGATCACCCTGAAAAGGCCGTGCATTCGAAGAAAAAAAAGCGCTCAAGCTCACGAGGCGCAGTAATTTTTTTTTTTGCCCTGCCACCCCTTCCTGCTTAGCTTCCAGCGCTTTTGCGGGAAGAGAGAATAGATAATGCAATTGCAGCTTACGACAAACCTTTGTAACTCCACTCGCACTGGACGGATTCTTCAAATTTTTGCGGCATTGGATTCGTGAGGCAATAAGCTCTTCTAGTGAAGTCATTCCATGGTTACTTGAAAAAACTATTTCAGGGCCCCTTTAAGGCATTTTGTTCGACAGGTGTCACCAGGAAAACGAGCCCATTCGGCATCAATAGCGCGCGCTGGTCCAATCTCCTGTGTGCGTGCGTGTGTATGTAACAAACATATGAATAAGTATGCACTTAGCGGTTGAGGGGTGCAGTAGAGGCCAGATTTTGCTATCGCGCTCAACTCTTAAACACGAAGCTTAAGGGTGCTCCAATTTTTTTTTATAAGACTAAACTTGCGATGGCATTTTCATAGCAAGTAAATCTTCTTACAATTTTATGTGATCAAATACAATGTCAAACGGCACGTCATTGTCTAGTTAGTAGCTCACTACTGGATGTCATTAGCCTAATAAATAAACATCACAATAAAGTGTTCTCTACATTACGAAGCATGAACAAACCACTGCAGATGGAAACACAAGCACACGCCGAATACTAACACATGATCTCTACACAACACATAAACCAGCAGCAACACTAAAGCTATATATTAATCCCGATTTTGGAGTAGCACCCATCGTACCAGCGATAAGCGGGTAGCTTAAACATGTATAATCGATGTTCTCGACCTATATTTTATATCTTAATGTTGGCATAAAAGTGCACCATTTCGTAGCACTGAAGTGTTATTCCAAAATTATCAAGAAAATTGCAACTTTCATAAACTTTCTATAAAACTACTACAATCTCAGCGTAAAACATAACAGCCAGTAGTGGTATTATTGTTAAATACTCCGTCCCAAAGGAAGCAAAAGCCATTAACATCAATGACACATTGAGTACTAATGACAATGGTCGTTACTACTCAGTGCACATTTCTTATGTATTTCTTTATTTACTGAAATATGAGTACCATGTTGTAAATATGACATAGGTGCAGTTACTAGTAATTTACTACCTTCGAGAGAGATGACAAGAGAACGTGAAGTAAAATGTCGCTGTTCTTTAAACGGCCGATCGCCAGACCGGCATGAGTGAGAAACGCAGTGCAAACGTTCATCATCCTACACGTAAACAAACTATCCGCATTGAACATGTTCAAACACTCTTTGTTTGTTTTTACAATTTAAATATTTCACTGTGCTATAAGTGTTGTAATTCAGGCAGGCTCAGCAGTCGCTTATATGAACTTTCACGAGCAAGGGAATAAATAAAAGAGAGGGCATTATGTGGCTGTCCTAATCATTACTGCCAAACGACAAGCCACCTCGGATGCAGTACGCATATGCTGGCATATCCTAATACCTTGCGATTATACTGATGACATAGGAAGTTACGCCTGTAGCATGGCCAAATGCACGCCTCATTTGACTTCCTATGCAGCGTCCCTACAACGATATCGCACGGAGCAATATTCGCAAACGCCCTCGATCCAAATGATGGCGGCTTGTTTACGCTCTCTCCCCCTCCCGCTTCAATAACCTGTTTTGTTATGTAAGAGTGCACCCATGACGACCTCACACAGAGGCGGCATTTATATGGCATTGTTGCTGAGGGAATGGGAAAGCTCGAGAAAGCCGCAGATCAATTTCCTCCGTCTATTGAGTGGCTCTTCTGAATTAATCAGAACAGTCGCATTAGGAAATTCACATTGCCTCGCACAAACTGAAACGCTGCAGGAACTTTTGTTTAAACTTGTGTGCGCCTGCTTGGAAAGGCCCCTTCAAACTTCACGCTCAGACCACCAGTTTGTGGGGGTGGCTTTTATTTTCGTAGTGTGAAAACATTCATGACAACAAACACGAGATAGCTATAAAAGGACACGCGTGCTGCGAATGAATGCTTCCTATTGGGGTGACGGCAACCTATTAACACTCCAAGAAGTCACCAGCCCTACCCGGTAGGCGAAATGAGGGCAAGCGAAACATGGCGTGGGCATACCCGACGTAGTTCTTTTTTTCTTTTCTTCTTTCTTTATTTCTTTCTTTTTCATTGAACAGTGCATCCGTCTATGTAGGCGTTAAGATTTATCGTCTAGGTAGAAACCATTCCCATAACACTGTTTTTGGCGTGAATCGACATGGCATCCTTGATATCTTTCCCAGCGTTGAGCAGCCTTAAGGCCCCGCCGCGATGGTCTAGTGGCTAAGGTACTCGGCTGCTGACCCGCAGGTCGCGGGTTCAAATCCTGGCTGCGGCGGCTGCATTTCCGATGGAGGCGGAAATGTTGTAGGCCTGTGTGCTCAGATTTGGGTGCACGTTAAAGAACCCCAGGTGGTCGAAATTTCCGGAGCCCTCCACTACGGCGTCTCTCATAATCATATGGTGGTTTTGGAACGTTAAACCCCACATATCAATCAATCGAGCAGCCTTAAGAATAGCTCGACCAAAGGACCATCCAACGGTCATGAACAGGTCGGCTGGCAATTCGTTTTTGTTGAAGCCGCAATGTTCCTTGAATGTGCAATACCTGATGTCGACCTTTCGCGCTGTAAACCAGATTGCTTTAATCGACCCAGAAGAAATATCTGAATGAGGTGCCCGTAGAAAGGGCACTGCTTTGTAAATATTGTTATCACGTTAGGTAGAATGCATCTATACGCTTGTATTCAGTTCACATAGAGCAAGCGAGTGTTGAAAGCTCGCATTTTCGAACCATGGAGCCCCTCATTCAAACCCAATCTCTAGAAAGGCAACTCTGTACTTTTATTTATTATTTTGTTTTTGAGTGGCAGATGTAGGGGAGGAGAGTTTTCAGGAACATCTAGAGCTCTAAAGGTTCCTCAGCGCAACCTTCGCTTCAAAAATCTCCGCTCAAGCACCACCTACAAATCTTCAATCAGCGAATCTCGAGCATGCAACCCCGGTGGGATATATCAAAGTGTTTTGTGTAGAGTCGTCTGATTGCTCTACCACCAGATTTCAGCGATGCGTTTTCGAAACTTCACGATTAGTGACGCTAGCCTAAAAGGACTTTGTACACCTGAAGAATTTCGAAAGCTGTGATTCATGAGCGTTAAACTTACAACTATTATTATTACATGACTCTAGAGCATTACATATAGCTTGTCTTGCTGTATACACGTGACGCTGCACACACGACGAAAACTATCAACAAAAACACTCTAGGTATACCTCTCCAAAGACACGTTTGACTTTAGTGTTATACCGATTCCTAGAAAGAGGAATCAGCCACATTTTTTAAGCATCGGGCTCGCCATTGTTCTGCGGCCTTCCCCGCCTACATGAATGAACCGTGCAACAAGCACTCAGCCACTACACCTGCACTAACACTGGATAGTCTGCCAAGGATAATCTCTTGCCTTGTCCTGTGAAAGTAACGGCCATAGCGTGATGACTTGTCTTCCTAAGGGCATAAGATTATTTTT